CCTTCAATCTCCCCCCTGCCAATCCATTTATGCTTTGCTGTGAAGCTGTTTGGGTTTGAAAGGGTTATATACTATGTTCTGGAAAAGGTGGCAGCATTCCAAAGTTCTTCCTAACATACACAGAAATGCTGACATACTACCAGAACATCTTTTTTATTTTGTCTGGGTTGGTTCTTTGTTGCCCACAGTGTTTTTAATTTTGTTTTACTCTGCAAGGGTGATCTAGCGCTAAACTAGTGTATCAATGCAGTGCCTCCGTGTTGAAGCATACAGGCGGAACACCATATGCTTTCCTTTTATTTTATTTTTTCAACTGTTCTTCCTTTTTCTTTTTTTCCCTCCTGGTTCTCTGCAAGTTTCTGGCACTCTCTGGCTGCCGTACATAACATGCAGCCCATGGGGGTGCTTTGTGCCACATCTCACTGTGGCACAGAAGCAAAAGGTGGCAGCAGAAGCATACACAAGGCAGGGCCTGAAAACAGCCCAGATGAAAACACAAGGGAGATCCACTGGCAGGCTCCTTTGGACGTTCGCTTCTCTAGCCGTTTTGCGAGTTAGCCTCAACTGACAGCGCTGCAAGGTCAGCCAGGGGAGAGATTTCCCTGCTACAATTTGGGGGGCAAAGTCCTCTTCCAACCGCCACAACACAGAGGAGACAAATGAGAAGCCAAATGGCTCCAGGTCCCGTGCTATAAAATAGACTTGCTGCCCTTGTCGGGGAAGGGAGAGTGGAGGCGCATCAGCCTTCGAACGCAGCCTCCGTCTCTGCCAGCAACCGTCCAGGATGAAGGCTGTGCAGGACAAAGGCATGATCCCTTCAAGGCACAGAGACTGGCCGTAGGGCTGTTGATTTAACTGCACTGTATTTAAAGTAGAACCCTGTATCCGTGAGGGATCGCTTCTGAGCCCCACTCTCCCACAGATGGTGAAAAAGGTGGGTTATTGTGAATGCTATTACAATGGACCCTCGACTTACAGAATTAATCTGTATTGGAACGGTGGCTGCAGGTCAATAAGTCTGTAGGTCGAGGGTCCATTTCCCATAGGAATGCATTGAAAACCATTTAATTCGTTCCAGCTAAAGGAAAAAAAAATCCTGGGCTTCCAATGCTGCACCCACAGCCCTCTGCCTTCTGTCCCCGCTGCCCTCTGCTTCCTGTCCCCACAGGGACAGGAGGCAGAGGGCAGCGGAAGCGGTTTTGAAGCCCAGGAAGCCAAAAGCCGGCAGCGGGCGCAGAGCGGCTTTCAGCTTCCCAGGCTTCAAAACCCCCTCCGCTGCCCTCTGTCTCTCGTCCCCACGGGGACAGGAGGCAGAGGGCAGCAGGAATGGGAGACAGAGGGCATCGGCGGAGGATTTGAATTTAGCACCCTTTCCCTCTGCTTTTCATAGGTTGAAGCACCGGCCGCAAGTCAAACCAAAATTTTGTGGCCAGAGCTTTTCATACCTCGAAATTTCCGTATGTAGGGACCTTCATAAGTCAAGGGTTCACAACGATATGTTGCCAGTTGCTGGCCTTTGCACTACACCCACCTCATGAGTAGAAGGCTATGTAACCAATGCACTGCAGCCATTTGGTTCTGGGGTTTCCTGGACGCAGCAGTTCATGCGGCTGTCGCCTCCAAGCTGTCGTTCTGTGGGGTCAGCCAGATTCCCCACATCTACTGTGATGTCCCACCACTAATAGAAATTGCTTGCAGTGACACACATGTTAACGAAGTGATTAATCACATCACAAGCACTTTTGTGGCCCTGGTGCCCTTCCTCTTCATCTTCATTTCCTATCTCTACATCCTGGCCTCCATTCTGCACATCCGTTCCAGCACCGGCCGGCGCAAGGCTTTCTCCACCTGTGGGTCTCACATCACCGTGGTCACCCTCTACATTGGAAATGCGCTTCTGAATTACAACCGCCCCATCGCTGGCTACTCTTTGGAGGTCGACACTCTGGTCTCCACCATGTTCTGCATCGTCACCCCCATGCTGAACCCCCTCATCTACAGCCTGCGCAACCGAGAGGTGAAGGACGCCCTGAGGAAGATGCTGGGGGGGCAGAAGAAGGAGCGTGCGTCCTCTCACAAGCCAGCGTCCTCCTCACCCTCTCGTCCAGTGGACGACCACTTCCAAAATCCTTTAGCCAAGCACAAAGGCCATGCTGGGACAGATAGTTAAAAAAAACAAGAGCAACAACCTTCTCCAACCACTCCACATCTTGAGCCACCATCATTCTCGCTAGGGGTGTGCAGAGGCCACAACAACTTCAGCCCCTGAGCGGAACAGGAGATCCAGGCTGAGGCGGGACAGAGAGCAGTGAGGAAGGACAAAGGGATGAGCACGGCTGGATCCACCTGAAAAACAAACATTGCTCCCTTCATGCACGTCTCTTTCCTTGATTTGCACATATACCCGTCTTTCCTCCTCTGATAGCTCAAAGCACAGAGAGGGTTCATTTCTTTTAGGAAACCTTCTACTCTCTCTCTATCACACACACACACGAACAAAAGCAGGCCTTTACTTCAATCTAGAATGATGTGGGAAGTGCCGGACTTTCAGAAACTCAACTCACCAAATTTTGGGCATGGTTAGGCCTGCCTTTTGTCAGCTCCAGTGGCTTGCAGAGCTGTGCCCCTTCCTAGATGGGAGATCTCTGACAACACCGGTACACACGCTGGTCCTCTCATGGATGGACTACTGTAATCCTCTCTACATGGGGCTTCCTTTAAAGTTGGCCTGGAGAGTAGAGTGCAGTGGCCTCTAGTGGCCAGTTCTTGTAACTTTATCTTTACAAATATATATACCCAAATTTTCCGTATATAAGATGCCCCCATGAACAAGACCCCCCCCCCACTTTTCTAACCCAAAATTAATAAATCTAAGTGGGGCTTAGCAAGTGTAGACAGAAAGGGATCAAAGCGCTGCTGGATTCTTTTGATCCCTGCTTTCTCTGTTCGTGCTAAACCTTGTGGGGCTTAGCAAAAGGAAGTGGAAAGGGATGAAAGCAATCCTGCAACTGATCATTTTGATCCC